AATGATAATGATAATAATAATGATAATGATAATGATAATGATAATAATAATGATAATGATAATGATAATGATAATGATAATGATAATAATAATGATAATGATAATAATAATGATAATGATAATAATAATGATAATGATAATAATAATGATAATGATAATGATAATGATAATAATAATGATAATGATAATAATAATGATAATGATAATAATAATGATAATGATAATAATAATGATAATGATAATGATAATGATAATAATAATGATAATGATAATAATAATGATAATGATAATAATAATGATAATGATAATAATAATGATAATGATAATAATAATGATAATGATAATGATAATAATAATGATAATGATAATGATAATAATAATGATAATGATAATAATAATGATAATGATAATAATAATGATAATGATAATAATAATGATAATGATAATAATAATGATAATGATAATGATAATGATAATAATAATGATAATGATAATAATAATGATAATGATAATGATAATGATAATGATAATGATAATAATAATGATAGTAGAGAATAATTATATTGACAAACACCAACTTCACTCTAAATACATGCAAGGTCCTATCCCCCTCAGTTATCTACCTGTGTAGCTGCGTATCAATATCTGTTTATTCTCACATTTGCATTAATATTTCTGATATGTAGCGATATAAGCTGAGATTAAATATAATTCCCCATAATTCCGGCAAATTTCAGCCACATAAACAACATGTATATGAATATATATATATATATATATATATATATATATATATATATATATATATATATATATATATATACACACCACACACACACACACACACACACACACACACACACACACACACACACCACACACACACACACACACATATGCATACATATATACGGGCGTATGCGTGTGGTTATATGTATGCATATATTTAAATATAAACGCAAACACATACTCAAAATAAAATCCACAAACAAACGCACAAAAGGCCACACACCCGCGCACAAACAAAGATAAACAAAATTCCCATGCATGATTTACAACCCAACCATCAATATTTACAGCTGAACACACACATACCTCTTCCTCCTCCTCCTCCTCCCCCTGTTCCTACTTCTCCTCCTCCTCCTCCTTCTCCTCCTATCCCTCCTCCTCCTTCCCCTCCTCTTCCTCCTCCCCCTCCTCCTCTTCCTGTTCCTCCTCCTCCCCCCCCCTCCTCTTGCTCCTCCCCCTCCTCCTCTTCCTTTTCCTCCTCCTCCCCCTCCTCTTCCTCCTCCCCCTCCTCCTCTTCCTGTTCCTCCTCCTACCCCTCCTCTCCTCTTCTTCCTCCTCCTCCTCCTCCTCTCCTCTTGCTCCTCCCCCTCCTCCTCTTCCTGTTCCTCCTCCTCCCCCTCCTCTCCTCTTCTTCTTCCTCCTCCTCCTCCTCCTCTCCTTCGACACAAGCAGTTTCCAAACCATTTCCTACTGCGTTTTCCTGAACAATGAAGATCTACACACTGGTGCTTTTGTGTGAGCGCGACTTGAAATTTTGGAAATCAAAACACTAACGGTGAATTTTCATTGAACTCAACGTGTGCTGGAGTGTGGGATGGTGGGGGAGGAAGGGAGAAAAGAGAGAGAAGAGGAAAGGAGGAAGGGAGGAGTGAGAGATAAAATGGGTAGAGGAAGGGAGGTAAGAGAGAGAAGAGGAAAGGAGGAAGGGAGGAAAGAGAGAGAAAAGCGTTGGAAGAAGGGAGAAAAGAGAGAGAAGAGGAAAGGAGGAAGGGAGGAAAGAGAGAGAAAAGCGTTGGAAGAAGGGAGGAAAGAGAGAGAAGAGGAAAGGAGGAAGGGAGGAATGAGAGATAAAATGGGTAGAGGAAGGGAGGTAAGAGAGAGAAGAGGAAAGGAGGAAGGGAGGAAAAAGAGAGAAAAGCGTTGTAAGAAGGGAGGAAAGAGAGAGAAGAGGAAAGGAGGAAGGGAGGAATGAGAGATAAAATGAGTAGAGGAAGGGAGGTAAGAGAGAGAAGAGGGATGGAGAAAGGGAGAAAGGAGAGAGAAAAGAGGTGGAGGGTGAACATAATGAGGAGAAGATAGAGGGAAAGGAAAGAAGAGGGGAAAGGAGGGTGGAAACAGGAAACGGAGAGAGGGGAGGAAAGGAAGCGAAAGAGAAGTAGGGAGGACGTGAATGGAAGGAAAGTGGACGAGGGGAAGGGAAGGAAAAAAGGAGACGGGGAAGGAAGTAGGAAAGGAAAAGGAAAGGTTGGTATAGGAAAAAAAACATGAATATAAGAGCTAAAGAGAGAGAGAAAAAAAAGGAAGAAGGGGAAGAGGAAGAAGTGGGAAAAGAAAAAGATGAAGGAGAAGAAGAAAAAAATAAAAACAAGAAAAAGAATTAGAGCGAGGAGAAGAAAAGAAGGAGAGGCGAAGAAGAAAAAGAAGATAATGAAGAAAAAAGAAGAAGATGAAGAAGAATAGAAGGGAGGAGAAAAGGAGGAGGAGGAAAAAG